CCTAGACTTTTATAGTCTAGCTTATAGCGTGAGCCCAGAAGATCCGACCGATCCAACCCGAAGTCCGATCTGGTACATTTTCTTGTCAAATTCTCCTTTTATTTTGACAATAAAAAACATAAAATGAAAACACATCTACAAGCCAAAATAAAGTATGATCCAGTAATTTACAAAACCCAAATGGGCATAAAGAAAATCAATTTAAAAGTCGATTTTCAATAAACATACGTTTTCTCAATTTAAATATAAATTAGGCAAATCATCCATTATTAGAAAGTTATCAAGTATAGTTTATAATGGAACATGACTAATCATTGCCAAAAGGTTTCTTTTAACCATTGAATATATGCATATCACTTGTTGGTGGCTTATATAATATTATTTATAAACTTTTGTAGATTATAACACTACCAAAAAAAAAAAAAGATTTTTAAACCCCCCTTTCTAAGCCAGTCATTGCTGAGACAGTTTAAAAAATGTAACCTCCGGCATTTTTCTAAATACCGGTATATTCTTAGATCAATTCCGCAAACAAGTGATCTAAATTATACTTTATAAATTGGGTGCATTATTGCAGAGAATGCAATTAATGTTGGTTAAAGAGGATACGGTTATATGAGGGATGTGCATTTGAGTGGCGTAATTTTTACTAACAAATGACGTAGTTAATGACTTTCTATGTCGATTAATAAAAACAACCATTGTAGAAAGCTAGTGTTCTACGTTGCCTTTTCAGGTTTCTTTTAAAACCAACATTGAAATTTTAATTTTTTTAATATATTATTTTTTTATGAATTAAACCTCCCAGCGATTGCAAATGTCCAGCAATGAAACAATGCATCCAAAACCAGTAGTTACCTAGAACTAGTACCGTGTAGAAATTTTACGATTCCAATTATTCTCAAGATATATGAAACAATAATACAAACTAGTTAGAATTAGTGCTGAAAAGACGAGTCAGTTTAGCCCTTCAGGGTTAGCCTTTCACAAGCCATAGACCTAAATGGGTTGACGTGTTTAGACCCAACTTTAAAAATGGAGTCATTTTACAAGACCTATTCCTTGCATAGGTGGGACTTGAGCTAACCCATGAGTTTTTAGGCCTATTTACAAAATTTTATTTGATTTTACATATTTTTATATGCAGAAAAGTAAAACATAAACCTCTTAAAATTCAAACTTCAAGCCATTAATATTAGTGAAAAAAAACTGCTTAACTATTGCCCAATTTTTCAAAACTAAACCAATCAAGTCATGTCCTTAGAATTAGTAAATTATTGTCTATAATTAAATAAATCATAGAAAGCACAAACTAAACACTAAGCAACAGTAATATTATCAACATGATTTCCATCATTATCTTCAATATCAATTATAATGCTTGATTGTGCTTCGAGTAGGCTCTTCTTTGGTGGCAAAAATATCATTTTTTCTTCTTCAAATAAAAATCACTTTCAAGTTTTACAGCCTACTTAGTATTTTATTTTAATTTGAGGTATATTACTATTGAAACTAAGGGTGTGTATGGACTAAAATGGGCTGAGTTTACTATCAACCCAAAGTCTAGTTTAGTAAAAACCTTAGGATGAAAAAGATAGTCTGAGATTTGACCCAATCTAGTACTAACCTAAGGTCAAGTTAGACTAGACTTGGTCTATTGGACTGTCTAAACCAATCCAGGCAGTCTAGGACCTCAATTTATTTTATTTTTTTAAAAAACTTTCAATGGAAGGCAAGATTACAACTTATTATATAAAATTTTGCACATATTTTGGTCAAAACTTCATCAAATTTGATCACTCTTTTCTAATTTTGTAATAATGTCATATTTTATTTATTAATCCTTATCAATATAGATCATATATTAATATATATATATATACACCCACACAGATGCTTATTACTTAGGAAGTTAATAGATAAATCTTTTATTATTTGATTTGACAAAAAACTTATATAAAAGAATTAAAACAAATTAAAATTATACAAATAATATTTATAAAATTAAAAAAAAATGGGTGGACTAGACTAGACCAATTGGTCTAGGGGTTAGTTCCCAGTCAAGTCCAGCCTGATGAAACTAATACGGTCAAGTCTTGCTTTGGGCCAATTATTTTTGCATCGGACTGGAACGAGTTTGCTCAGGTTAGATTAGATCATACCAAACTATTGAGTTTTTGCACAGCCCTACTCGAAATAAATAAATTTTTAATTCAAATTATATATAATCACAAGTTATGTAAGTATAAAAATACTCTCTTATTAAATATATATATATACTATTTTTGATTCTTTATATAAAAGCTAGATAACTAATTTGTGAATATGTATTAAATAAATTAGTTAAATTATTTATTTATAATAAATAAATATAATATTTTCTAAATTACCCTTATTAATATGTGCAATAAAACTACCTTTTGAAAAAAAAACTCCTTAACATGTGTAATCACTATACGGATTACTTGAGAGTAAAATAGATAAATGTTGGAGACAAAATGGATTGACATATTATTTAGAACCAAATTAAATTTTTAACTAGCTTTTATATTAAGGACTGAAGGTAGTATATAATTTAAAAATATTAACACACTAATATAAATCTTATCATCATCTAAAGTCCAAATTAACCCATTTAATTCAATTGAACAAATTTTTTTTAAAAAAATTAAATAAATCAAACCATTTTATAAAATTTATTTTTTAAAAGATAATAACAACTAGATATTTATAATGTCATTAACAATGTAGAAAATTCAATAATATCAACATCATATAAATATTTTTTTAAAAAATGAAAAAATAGACAAGCCAAAATGGGTTGGCCTTACGGCCCATTAGGGCCAATCTTTTAGGCTTGTTTACAATTTGAAAGGCAGACTTTTAAATTTGATCCTCCTAATTTTCGAGCCGAAACGAACTGAGCTTGTTCAATAAGCAAGTGGCAACTAAACATATCATACAATATATATCCAATTTCAAATGTAAACTCAAAAGTAAATTTCTAACAGTAAATCTTTTAAAAACCTAAAATTCACTAATTACTTTGCTTAATTAAGAACCAGCTGATATATCTCGTATGAAATTAATTTCTTCACTTGAATATTGGGTATGATTTTCAAACACGGAAGAATTAGGAGCAGACAATTCCAAGAACTTATTAATAATTAGCGACTATGTGTGACGGTGGAGGAGGTGATGGCGATGGTGATTGGGGAGGAGGGACAGACCGCGAGAAGGGAGCGGAGCGAGGCAAAGAGCCGTTGAAATTTGTCTTTGGATCTGGAGGTAGACTCGGCAAGGATCTGGAAGGTTTGAAGGAGAAAGCTCATGTAGCATCTCAATGGACAACTTTCCCTCTGTCTTACAAAGAGAAACTTCTTTCACCAGGGTGCGGTGGTTACTTGGTTAACCATGATGAAACGGAAGATATCGTGAACGGCTGGAAGGCTTTCTTCTCAAAGAAACACCAAGATCTTGAAACTGGTGGGAAGACTGACACGAGTGGTGATGCTGAGTTTACAGAGGGAGTCGAGACCGAAGGAACTACCATCAAGCCACGTTATCCTGTCTTGCAAGTTACTGCAAAACAATATACAGCGTGCTGTCAACCATGGATGAACTCTTTGATCATTGAACTTTTGGGTGCTCAGGTACCAAAGAATGTGCTCATAGATAGGGTGAGAAGGATGTAGAAACCAAAAGATCCAATGAAAGTGACTCCTCTCAGTAACGATTACTATATTGCTTCTTTTACTAGCAGAGAGGATGGGGACTATGCTTTTCAGGAAGGCCCTTGGATGATTAATGATCACTACCTGTTGGTTCAGAGATGGCGACCCAATTTTAACCCTCGGAAGGCGGACCTCCAAACTAAGATTGCCACATGGATTCGTATACCAGACCTCCCAATGGAGTTTTACAATGTTGAATCTCTAGGAATTATTGGAGATATGATCGGAAAACTATCAAAGTAGACCGTTCTACATCCATTTATGATAAGGGAGGTTTTGCTCGAGTGTGTTAAGATAGATCTCCAGCAACCATTGTTATTCGCTTTTACAGCTTTTGGGGAGGATTGGCAGATAGTTTATGAAGGTTTACACCAGGTTTGCTTTCACTGTGGGAAATATGGTCATAAAAAACATGCATGTCCTCTTCTGGTTACCAAGGATATGGATAATCTGAACAAGGGTAAGGAGGGTGAGAAACAAACCTAGATTCCGACGGCAACGACGGCAACAATGATGGCGGACGTTCATTTGGGACCACAAATGTTAGTTAGCCGAGATTTCCGCAAGATGAATATTATCACAGAAAAAAAGGGATTTGATGCGGGCATTCATGATGCGGAAAATAAGGGATTGAGTACCGGTATTAATGGAATGGAGAAGAAGGGGGCTATTTTTGGAAAGGCTATGAAGATGAAGGCTGTATATAGGCCAGTAGGAGAACAGAAAGAGAACAATACTAAAATCTTGGGACCTGTGGATAAAGACCGTAACTTTGAGGTTGAAATAAATACTAACATGTGGAATAGAGTGGGCTCTAAAAGGAAGATAGTAGAGAAGATCAAAATCAGAGGGAAGGAGAATTTGTCAGATAAAGGCAAAACAAAATATAAGGAGGGAATCAATCTCAACGAAAGCCCATTGAAGTTTATAATTCCTTTTCTTCACTTCAGCCTGGGCCTTCCAATTGAAAGGCTCAACATCAATCCAACTTGTGTAGATCAAAACGTTAGTGGGCTTGGGGATAATGATTGTGTCACTACTACGGGCCTTGGGGATAATGCTCACGTCATTACTAAGGGACAAAATTCTTTTAGAATGAATGAAGTAGCTAGGCGTATTGGAGACCAATCGGATGATGGTGACGTCTTGATGGAGTTCCCATGCAAACACAAGTGAGGATATATCTATAGCTCTAGATTCGGATCTTGTCCAGGGAAGGGACATCGAAGCTTCACCAGCACACTTAAATGTTTCCTTATGAATTACATGATATGGAATTCTCGGGGTACAGGTGCGAAGACTTTTCCCAGCCTAGTACAAGAATTAAAAAAACACTTGTGTTTGGATTTTGTAGCCATAGTTGAGACTCGGTCGAATAAACAAAATACAGAAAAAAGAATAGGAAGTCTTGGGTTTCAAGATTTTGCATTTATTGAAGCTGAAGGTTTTAGTGGTGGTATTTGGTGCCTATGGAATGGGGGTGTTCGTAAAGTGGAAGTTGTAGGACGTCATCATCAATTTATGCATTTATCTATTAACACTGCTAGATTTGAGCGATGGTACTTCACTGTGATCCATGCTAGCCCTCATCTAGTGGCAAGACGTAGTTTATGGAAGGAGCTCCTTCGCATAGAACGTGGTATGCATGACCCTTGTGTATTAGGGGGTGATTTTAATGCTACTTTGTACACTGCGGAAAGATGTACCACCGCTGAACATGGGATCTCTATTAATAGAGACTTCTGTAACTGGTTTGAAGAGTCTTGCACGTCAGATATTGGCTTTAGGGGACCTTATTTTACGTGGAAGAGAAACAATTCTGAAGCACGATTGGACCGCTTCTTAGCAAATGATGAGTGGTGCAGGCTTTTCCCCAATGCGAGAGTTTCTCATCTACCTTTTTATAAATCATATCACCGTCCCATTCTCCTACAACTTGATCATCATGTTGAAGTCCCTCGTCGGCCGTTCCGCTTTATCGGAGCTTGGGTTCTACATGAAGACTTTAACAATTTTGTCGTTCATAATTGGAATAATGAGCTGCGGTGGAGCCATAATTTGACCCAATTTACTTCAGCCTGTCATAATTGGAATAAGAAAGTTTTTGGACACATTGAAGGCAAAAAGAAGAAGCTGTTAAGACGCATGGACGGGGTGAATAGAGCCATTGAAAGAGGGTGGAATGTGAGTTATTATGAAGATTTACAGACTGAGATATGGAAGGAACTTGAAGATGTCTTAGCATAGGAATCTCTCTTATGGGCACAGAAAGCAAGAGTAGACTGGAATATTTACGGAGATAGAAACACTAAACTTTTTCATTCACGTGCTAATGGGCGTCGAAAGATAAATAGGGTGGATGTTATTCGCTTAGAGGAAGGGGAGTGGTGTTTTGATGTTGAAAAAATAAAACAGGAAGCTGCTTCCTTTTTTGCATCGTTGTTCATGGAGGAGTTGCCTACTAGAGATGAGATGACATGTAGTGTAACTTTTCCACCTATTGAAGAGGCCTACTTACGGATTTGTGCTCGGAAGGTTGATGAGCAAGAAATCAAAGAGGCAATATTTAGCATGGGCTCTTTGAAATCTCCTGGGCCTGATGGCTTTAACGCGCTATTCTACCAAACACAATGGGACACTATTGGTAAGACTATGATAAACTTTGTTAAACACATCTTTGATAATCCACATGAAGTTAGGGAGATCAATGGAACGTTAGTGGTATTGATTCCTAAAAAAGACCCTCCCGAAACTTTTAAGGATCTGTGACCCATTAGTCTGTGCAATGTTGTTTATAAAGTGATTACTAAGATTGTGGCCAATAGAATGAAGAAATTTTTACCACAAATAATTTCTCCTAATCAGTGTGGTTTTGTGCTTGGGCGTCATGGTTCTGATAATATTATTGTAGCACAGGAAGTCATCCACTCAATGAGAATTTGAGAGGGAAGAAGGGGTACATGGCTATTAAAATTGACCTTGAAAAGGCTTATGATAGAGTTAATTGGCAATTCTTGAATGGCTATTTAAAGGAGTTGAATCTTCCATTGTCTTTTACCACCATTATTGAACATTGTATTAAATCAGTTGAATTACAACTACTGTGGAATGGAAATAAGGCAAATTCTTTTAAATCATCAAGAGGGGTCCGACAAGGTGACCCGGTCTCACCCTATTTGTTTGTGATTTGCATGGAGAAATTGGCTCATCTCATCCAAGAGAAAATTCTTAATGAAGAATGGAAACCAATTCGATTAATGACAAGTGGGCCACCTATTTCCCATTTATTTTTTGCGAATGATGTCATCTTATTTGCAGAAGCTTCCTTGCAACAAGCGTCATTGATAAAAAAATGTCTAGATAATTTCTGCAATTGTTCCGGACTTAAGGTTAATTTCTCTAAAACCCGTGTGTTTTTCTCATCTAACGTCAATCACAACAGGTGTTTAAAGATTAGCACCTACATGGGATTTACTCAAACAGCAGACTTGGGGAAGTATCTAGGTGTTTCTCTTCATCATAAGAGAGTAACCAAAGATACGTACAAGGAGATTGTTGATAAGGTTAAGAACTGCCTGGCTAAATGGAAGACCAATTCTTTATCCCTTGCGGGAAGATCTACTCTAATCACCTCAGTGACGCCAGCTATCCCTTCCTATGCCATGCAGACATGTCTACTCCCAGCTACTTCTTGTGAGGCCCTTGACAAACTGAACAGGAACTTCCTTTGGGGCAATATGGAGGATCAGAAAAAGGTCTCACTGGTAGCTTGGGACTCAGTTTGTAAATTGAAGACAAAAGGAGGTCTTGGTATGAGACATGCCAGATTACAAAATCAAGCTCATCTCGTGAAGCTAGGATGGAAACTTGTTCATTGCCGTAATGATTTCTGGGTCAAAGTTGTTCGTGATAAATATCGGTGTGGTAATGATCTTATTCCAAAGATTGATGTTGAAAGGGGTGGCTCCAACGTCTAGTTAGGAATAAAGAAGACTTGGAAAAAGGTTGAGGAAGGTATGGAGATTGCTGCCAACAGAAACACAGTGAGATGGAAACATGAACGTAGTGGAATGTTTACAGTTAAGTCAGCCTATGAACTGCTATCAACTGCTGGTATGGATTCTAACCCGCTTTGGGAAAAAATATGGAAACTGCCTATTCCCTAATGTTGTAGATCGATGATGTGGTTAGTAGCTTGTAAGAGTCTTTTAACAAACACTATTAGAAGGAAACGAGGTCTGGGTGATGATGATATTAGAAGACTGATTCAAAAGTTAGTTACAGAGATATCCGCTGAAGCTTGAGGAGCAAGAAGTGGGCACCGATAAATTAGGAATCCATGATGTTAGTGGTTATTTTCCTTTTTTTTTTATTATCATTTATTTCAATTTGCTGTAACTGAATATGTTATAAATTCAGTATTGTACGCATCAGAAATTTGAGGAAATTATCAGTTTTGCTTCTCTACAGTTTCTCTCTCGTTGGCCTTGCATCTCGCTGTGTGTTTTTTTCTTCCAGTGTTCATTCCCCCATAAAAACCATCAGTTTGGTATCAGAGCTGAGTTGATCAAAGTAGGGCGTGATGGCAGTCAGTAACAATGGTGCAGTGAGTATTTCTCAACCTTCCATGCCTATTTTCAAAGGAGAAAATTATGAGTTCTGGAGCATTAAAATGAGAACTCTGTTTAAATCCCAAGAGCTGTGGGATTTGGTGGAAAATGAATATGATGAGAATGAGGAGGAGGCTAGAGTCAGAGAAAACAAGAAGAAGGACTCAAAGGCACTGTTTTTTATTCAGCAACCAGTGGATGATTCTATCTTCTCCAAGATTGCAGCTGCTAAAACAGCAAAGGAAGCATGGTCAACCTTGCGGGTTGCATTCCATGGCTCTTCTACGGTGGTAAGAGTAAAATTGCAAACTCTCCATCGTGAATTTCAAAACCTGCGCATGAAGAGTGAAGAAGCTGTGCAGGACTTTATGACAAAGATAGCAGCAATTGTGAACCAGATGCGATCATTTGGAGAAGAAGTGTCAGAAAAAACAGTGGTAACACATGTATTGAGAAGTTTACCTCCTAAATTTGATCATGTAGTTGCAGCCATTGAAGAATCAAAGGATTTATCAGCTTATACATTTGATGAGCTGATGGGTTCTTTGCAGTCTCATAAAGCAAGAATTAACAGAAAAGGAGAGATGACAGAAGAGAAAGCTTTTCAGGCAAAGGGAGAAACTGAAAATCATGCTGGTAGAGGAAGAGGCAGAGGAGGATTTAGAGGGAAGAATTCCAACCGTGGCAGAGGTGGAGCCAGATCTGATTACAAAGATAAAAGGAATATTCAGTGCCATAATTGCAAGAAATATGGGCACATGAAAGCTGAGTGCTGGTTCAAAGACAAACAGGCAAATTTTGCAGAAGCAGCTGATAGTGAAGACAAGCTGTTCATGGCATATGCTGATCAACCAAATGCAGAAGGTGAAGTTTGGTTTGTGGACAGTGGCTGCTCAAATCACATGACAGGGAAGAAGTCTTTCTTCACTGATCTAGATGAAACCCAAAAGAAGACAGTGAAGCTAGGTGATGATAAGGAGATGAGAGTTGAAGGAAAAGGAACAGTAGCAATCAACACTACTCCAGGTAAAACTAAATTCTTGGAGAGCTTGTTAATAATTTAGCACACAATCTGCTGAGCGTAGGGCAGATAATGGAGAGTGGATATTCAGTTTTATTTGACAATAAAGAATGTGTTATAACACATAAGGCAACTAATCGAGTAATTGCAAGGATACCAATGACCAAAAACCGAATGTTCCCATTTGATGTTAAAGCTATGCAAGGTTATGCTCTAATGGCTGGTGAGAAACACGTTTCTGAGGTGTGGCATTCACGCTATGGCCACCTAAACATCAATGGGCTGCAACTTCTCGAGAAAAGAGGTATGGTTTATGGCTTGCCAAAAATTTCTGCAATTAATATATGTGAGAATTGTGCTTATGGTAAGCAATCAAGGAAGTCATTTCCCGTAGCAAAGGCATGGAGAGCAACAAAATGTCTGGAGCTTGTTCATTCAGATCTATGTGGCCCTATGGATACTAAATCCTTAGGTGGGAGTTATTATTTTTTGCTCTTTATTGATGATTTCAGCAGGATGAATTGGGTTTATTTCCTAAAATCCAAATCAGAAACATTTGGGATGTTTAGGAAATTTAAGGCAATGGTTGAAAAGCAGAGTGATGCAAATATTAAAGTACTTCGTACAGATAGAGGAGGAGAGTTTACCTCATCAGATTTCAACCGATTTTGTGAAGAAAATGGCATAAAGCATGAGCTCACAGCACCTTACACACCAGAACAAAACGGTGTAGCAGAACGTAAAAATAGAACAGTGGTGGAAATGGCGAGGTGCTTGCTAAAAGAGAAAGGGTTGCCAAACACCTTTTGGGCAGAAGCTGTAGCAACAGCCGTGTACTTGCTGAATCTCTCCCCAACAAAAGCAGTACAAGATAGCACTCCCTATGAAGCATGGAGAGGGAGAAAACCCACTGTAAGCCATTTAAGAATATTTGGGTGTATTGCATATGTCTTTATAAATTCCCAAAGTCGTCATAAACTTTATGGGAAATCACGAAAATGTATTTTTATTGGCTACTGTACTGAGTCTAAGGCATATAAGTTGTATGACCCTATAGATGAGAAGATTGTTATTAGTAGAAATGTGTTGTTTAATGAAGATGCAGGCTGGAATTGGAGTGAGAACAGCTCAGATAGCAGCAAAAATCAAATGCAAATACCATTAATTGAGGAAACAATTTCTACTTCAGTCAATGCACCTACTCCAGTCAGTAGTCCAGCAACAACACCATCAAGAAGGAGCTCAAGTTCTGCCAGTGAGTCTTCTGATGAGACGCCACCCAGAAAATTCAGATCATTGAGGGAGATATATGAAAATGATCAGTTTGCATTAATGGCACCTGACCCTACAACATATGATGAAGCTGCTGAAAGAGAATTATGGCAGAAAGCTATGAGAGAAGAGCTCAATGCCATAGAAAAGAATGCAACATGGGAGTTGATTGATTTTCCAGAAGGGAAAAATGTTGTAGGCTTAAAATGGATCTTCAAGACAAAGCTTAATGCTGATGGAAGTATTCAGAAGCATAAAGCACGGCTAGTGGCAAAAGGTTACTCTCAACAACAAGGGATAGACTATGAGGAGACATTTTCACCAGTGGCACGATTCGAAACTGT